TGACTGAAGCTCATTGTGCAAATGAGAACGTGGGTCTCACAGAGGATGAGTGTCATGCTTGGTGTCACAGCCTAACAGGCATCAGACCCAGGTGGGAACTGGACACGCCTGGCTCATCCTCCCGGGGACTTATGGGTACAGATGCACAACACAAAATGCAGGTTTGCTACCTGCCACTGGGAGGAGAAAATAATAATAGTTACACTTTCCCGAGCAAGTCTTTAAGCCTGGTACTCTATTTAGCCATTTGAATATATTCTCTCATTTAATGCTCACAAAACCCTGAGAGGCAAATTTTTGATCCTCAATTTGCTCATGAACCATTCCAGGCTCAAAGGTGATATGAGCGAGTGCACAGCCGGGAAGGAACAAGGCACTGAGGGAGCTCTCGCGGACCTGGGCTCCGGCACCTGCCTTCTTCACCCCGTGCCCTGTGTGACATGTGCACCAGCAGGTCCAGGAGCCATCTCGTTGCCACTCAAGACTATCCCTGCTCGGTGTCCCCCTCACCCAGAGAGGGAGGGTTCTCCCCCCAGCTGATGAGGTCCATGGGAACCTCAGGTTCTGGAGGAGAGAGGACCCTCGCTCTGTCTTCCCAGTTCAGGGCTATCCTAGCGCCAGGGTTCTGTGGGCATGAGACCACCGCTGGCAACATGCAGGGGACCCGATAACAGGCTGCGTGACAGGGTGGGGCTCAGAGCAGGGTTGCCAAACCAAGCCGGCTGGCACTCAAGTCCTGGCTGTGCCGTGTGAACCAGGTGAGTCATGTTGCCTCAGTTTCCTTATTTGTAAAAACCAGTGATTCAAATAGCAGCTTCTCAGGGGTGGGGGAAGGATTATAAGAAATAATGTATGCAAACACATAAGTGCTTCGCCTGGTGCCTGATTGCTTGATTAATGGAAGCTATTATAACTCTTAATGGCTAAGGGAACTAGGGCACTGACCCCATATTTTACCTCTATTTTCAGGACGGGAAAAAGCTCCATCACAGTTTTCCCATCAATAATAGTCAATTCCACTCCCTAGAGGGCCCAAGTGTACCTGGGCTTAAAGCAGTGCTGAGGCACAGGAGTGGGTATGGAGATGAGCTAAGACAGGTGGCCCTCCTGGGCATGCACAGCACCGCCCTGCACTGCCTCTACCTGTGGTGCAGGCTCGCTTGCCTATAGGAGGTCAGCGGCCACGCACCCAGCTCCCTGTGATGCAGACATCTTGCTACTCTCTCCACGCAGCAGCACATACACACACGGGCACACACATACAGGCACACACTTATACACAGATACACATGCACACACATGCACACCAAACACAGATGCATGCCCATGCCCACGTGCGCTCACACACACATGCACACGTGCACACAATCACATCTACACTCAAGTGTGCACACACCAACCATGGACACATTATGCACATACGTGTCCAACACACACACACACACATGTGCGCACGCAGCCCCACACCCTACGCCCACAGTAGTCAGTGTTCTCTGCAGAGAGAAGCGTGTTTATCGGCACGAGCTTCCCGGGGCTGCGGAGGCCATGGTCCTCCGAGGCAGGGAGCCCCTCCGGCCGCTGGAGAAATCTGCTTTCCCTTCAGCCTCTTTCTGACAGTCCCTTCTGTCACGGCGCGATTATGCTCTTTCTGTCAGGGACGCTGAGTGATTGTGGCAAGAAAATTGCCTTCAGCGATCGGGATTTAAGAAACGCTTTTCCTGAAAATAGTGCTCAAATTAATTAACTTGCAGGAAAGGGTTGCTGGGTGTTTTGGTCTGGATTTAATTTATTTTTCCCAAAGAGTTTTTTGTTGTGTGATCAATGGGGAGGAGAGCGTCACCTCCGTGAGCATCACCTAAGTCCGGAGGCCCGGCCTGGGAGCCTCCAGGAGGCTGCGTGGGGGAAGCCCCGTGGAGGGCGAGG